CAAGAGGAACATTATCACTTTATTAATTTTAGGTAACTGGAAAGTTAATTTCAGAGTAATGTAAGTCTGTGTATCTGAATACCTACACCTAAGAACAATTCCAATCTGAGAGAATTGACTGATGATCTCTGCTAGACCAAGCAGTTATTTTGTAGGAGCATAATGTTTTTCAAACATTAATGGCAGCCTTTATCATCCTAGGGCTGTTTTAACTATTAAAATGTGTTAGGATTCATAGAAACATAGAAGTGTTGCTTGAGAGGGATCTTTGGAGGATCTGTCTTATTCTGGACCTGGTCTAGCCTCCAGCTTGAAGTGGGAGTGTCGTCAAGATTAGATCAGGTTAGCCTGGCTTCATCTGCTCAGTCTTCAAAGCCTCCAAGGACAGAGACTCTTTACCCTCTCCAGGCAAGTTGATTCAAGTTTCTGCACCTCAAAGTTTGTTCCTAAGGTCCAGAACTAAAGCAGCTTGGGGTTTAGCTTTAGGATATTACTACCACAACAATATTACGTAGGAGAGAATTTATTTACTACGGGAATAAAACTCCCTTTGATTTTCAGTAATTTTTGCTCATAGATCACTTTATATGAAAATATCTGGCATGTTTTTTTTTAAGTTACCATAACTACTATCTTTCCCCAAACTGTAAAATTTGAGACTATCAGAATGTTTGTCAAGAATAGTGCTTTTAGCAGTGAATCAAAATGTATAGGTAATAATCTATAAGAGTTTTATTCAAGAGGAATCCCTCATAGCCTCCTGTGTGTATACATCTTAGGATGCTTGGAGTTGATGGACACAAAAAATAAAAACAAGTGTTGTCTCTGTAGTTCACACAGTAAAGGACTTTTTAAAAATACGCTGCTAAGTACATCCCTCACTATGCAGTGGGAGCCAGGGGCAGGAAGAGGCGCAAAACAGCCAGTGTGAAGACCGCTTTCCACTGAGACATAACAGAGTCGGGCTTGTGCAGGGGCTCAGAACCAGACCCGTGCTCTCCTTTGTATTGATGCAGAGCCTAGCGAAGGAGGGATTCATGCACTTCAGTGTATTGATACATAAATACATGGACTGCCTTTGTCCTTACCAAGATTGTAAAGAAGCCTTATATTAGAAGACAAGTATGCAGCTAAAGGAAAGACTACTTCCATAGTCATCTGGCTGAGTGTTTTTTAAAATTTAGGGTAATAACATTTCCCTTGGCAGCTTAATGGGAGGGAGGAGCTGTGTACATTTCCCTCCCCCCCCGC